GTGGCGCTGTGGGTTAAACCACAGAGCCTAGGACTTGCCGATCAGAAGGTCTGCGTTCGAATCCCCACGATGGGGTGAGTTCCCATTGCTCGGTCCCTGCTCCTGCCAACCTAGCGTTTCGAAAGCACGTGAAAATGCAAGTAGATAAATAGGTACCGCTCCAGTGGGAAGGTAAACGGCATTTCCATGCACTGCTCTGGTTCACCAGAAGCGGCTTAGTCATGCTGGCCACATGACCCGGAAGCTGTATGCCAGCTCCCTCGGCCAATAAAGCGAGATGAGCGCCGCAACCCCAGAGTCGGTCACGACTGGACCTAATGGTCAGGGGTCCCTTCTTTATCTTTACCTATGTCTCAAGCCGGCTCTAAAATGGCCCATGCCATGGCCATTTCTAGCCAAGGCATATTGCCAAGTAGATGGAGATGGGGCCAGAGCCATCTATGTATTTTCCAGACTTAGAATCATACAACTGTAGGGTTGGAAGGGACCATGAGGGTCATCTAGTCCAACCCCCTACATTGCAGGAATCTTTTGGCCAAGGTGGGGCTCGAACTCATGACCCTGAGATCAAGAGTCTCACGCTCTACCAACTGAGCTATCCCATGATTTTGCTTGACTTACGTTTGAAGAACACGGTGAGTTTGCAGCCAACAAACACAGAATGCTGCCTTGTGCTAATCAGACCATTGGTCCATCTAGGTTAGTATCACTGGCACTGGCTGGCAGCAGCCCTTTGGGATATCAAACACAGCATCTTTCCCAGCCCTCGTGAAGATGCCAGGGATTGACACTGGGACTTTCAGCAACTGAGATACAATGCTAGATTGCAGTTAGGTTTCGAGCACAGTTTATAAGCTAAAGGTTTGGTGCACATCTCTGTTCAATACAAAAATCCAGTTTTTAAGTTCATTAAAAAAGAAGAAACATGCACAACACACGAAGAGGCTTTTACTGAGTCAGATCATTGTGTTCTCACAGGGGCTCAAACTGCTCCCCTCTTTTTACTCCCTCCGTCCTTATTATCTCCTTCCCTGTTGATAGTGGTCATCATAAAAATCAGCATTCCCGGGAGGCTCAGCTGATCTAAATCCCGCTTTAAATTCCCACTCACTACTGGTGCAGTCAGTAGTCTAAACACACCCACCCACACCCATTTCTTAAAGAAGTCATCCTCATCTCATTGGCTGCAGCAGAAGTGCAGGCAAACTAGCCAAGGGCATATAAGTAAGAAGAGCAGTTTGCAAGAGAGCAGAAACATAGCCACTTCCAGGCCTGCCCCAGGAGGTGGGGTTGCGGGCATCACGCCCTTCCCCACGTGAGCGGGGGCTGGTCTCAGCCCCCGCGAGAGCAGGGGAATCCCATCCGGCCACGCCTCCCGGCCAGCCAATCGGCTGGCTGGAGGGGGCGTGGCTTGCCCTATTTAGGGCCGGAGCGGAGGGGGCTCGCCCTCTCTTCTCCGGCTAGCCCCACGTTTCCCCACCCTCCCTCCCTTTAGTTGGGCTTTAGGTAGGTCTGACTTTGCTATGGGCTTCGGCCTGTCGCCGCATGGGGCATGGTAGGAATTTTTCCCAATTGGCAATTTCCAGCCTTTTGGTTTTTCGCCTACCTCGTAGCAACTCGTCACAACTCTTCGGCATTGGCGGTAGGCATTGGTAAGAAGGGGTTAAGAGGATGTGTTAGGGGAGGAACGCCATCACCTCCCCCAGTGAACGAAGGGTGGTCCGTTAAAGGACTCCGGGGCGTGGCCCTGTCCGAAGCCTATGGAGGTGTGGGCCAAAGGCACGCCCCAGAGCGGTGACCCGGGGGAGCTCCTAGTCGACGTGCCTTGGCGGGAGACTCCCCCGATCAGTGTTAACCCTTCACCGTGCCTCCAGCAAATGGGCTGGAGCCGGATAGTCGTTAGGACCAATGCCTAAGCCAATGCCTCTCATTCCTGAATTCAATAAAGTTGTGGCCTAATTCGCCCAATTAACCTTAATTATGGTGTCTCGTGTGTTTATTTATTCTTGGTGGGGGGCGGGAACTCGCCACGCAACTCAGTCCCAGTGGAAAAGCATCAAGGGAAACAGCTGGCCTATCGGAGGAGAAGGTAGGGGACTCCAATTTATTCAATGTATTAGCCATCATTTATAGCAGAAACCAGGCGATTGCATTTCAGGAGGTTAAGCTTGGAGAAATGTGAAGATCAGGAGAAGGTCCTGCAGAACAGCCTCCCCCAAACTTGTTGTCTTCCAGTGGGTATCTCTTTGACCACTATGAGAACAGAGTTTTGGACCTGATCCGGAACACCTCTTCTAATGTTCTTATGGCGCCTTCCTTGGGTTTTTGGCTATAACTCCCATCATTCCCAGCCACCACATCTTTGCTAGGTATGGCTGATGAGAGTTGTAGTTCAAAACATGAAGGACACTAGGTTGGGAAAGACTGATGGACAAACCTCCAGCTTAGGAGCTGAATCCTGAGTTATATAGTTCCATAGAAATGTATAGTCATTGTAGCTCTGCTCCAGCAGGGAAGCCTTGTCTTGCTGTAGCAAATGTGAAGCAGCAACCTTTCCTAATGCACAAAGGCAGCAGCTCATATACCGTAATAGCTCTCATCTGACAAAGCCCACAATGAAGAACTAAGGAGGAGAAGCCGATGCATAAAGGATAGGCTCAGCCTTCACTTTAAGCTTGATTTATGTCAAGCTTTACAGGCCAGAGATGGGGAACCTGTGGCTATCAACCAGAGACAGCATAACATGGTGGTAGTCCAATGACATCACAAGGGTCAAAGGCCACCTACCCTTTTTAGAAGCTAAATCACGGAACTGTAGTCCTCCCTTCAATTTAAAAATCTGCCAAGTCAATTTTACAGAATTAATCTCCAGAATTTAAATCTGTTGCCGGAGCAAAGAGGGGAGGGGCTTTATTATTTCTCAAACACGTGATCACGCACATGCATTTCAAAACAATAGAAATTATCCCTCTATAGTATCGTTTTAAACCTCATCAGAAGTAGTGCTCCCAACATGAGATGGTGGGGAGTAGGGCTATGCTAGTTGGGAAACAGGTTTGTCTTCTTGGTGTATTTCTGATTCCTTCTCTCCCCTCCCCCCCCTTTTTAAAAAAAGAATTTTGGATGTCTATTTAATATAACATCCCCTAATAAATCTGTCTTGCTCCTTACCCCTTGCCCCTCCTGTTTGCTTTTTAAACATGTGTCTTTGCTGGGGATTTGTAGTGCAGTACTTCTGTTTACTCAGAAGTACATCCCAGTATCCTTAACAGGACTTTGTTCCAGGGAAAGGTTTCTAGAATTGCGGGCTGAATCTCTGATCCCTCTTCCCCCAGAATTATGAGCGTGGAATGTCTTTCAACACTTGCGAGTCTGGCAGTGTTCTTATTTTCAACCAGAAAATGAATTTTAAGCTTCTGAAAAGGCATAGGTTGACCCAGGCAGGCACAATCTGTGGCCCCGTGTGGTGAAATAACTGGGACAGGATGCGGGGTTGGGTAAAAATCAGACCAAATCTTTATAGACCACAGCATAAAGTGGGGTTGGCATGGCAGTAGGGCAATGGTCCATTGCTTCAGTCCTTGCTGAAAAGAACTGAGTTCTCCTCCATGAGAATATTCCAGGGCTGAGCCCTGACATGGTGGAAGCCAAATGCCCAGGGTCTCACTGAGTGCCTGGGGTGAGAGATTCCAGCCATGCGGGGGCCCTAACCTGATCTTAGGGTGTGCATGGCCAATATTTCCCCCTAGACATGTTATGGAGGCCCCCATTGCTTTACTCATCCTGCCCAATGCCATTTCTGCTGATATACGTTTCTCTGAAATAGATTGTATCCCTCATTATTGCAATCTCCCAATCGTGGGACTTATCACCAGGTTTCCAGTGATGCCTATTATGTCATATTAGTTTGCTGTACCAAGAGCTCAAGCTCATCTTGTTTATTTCCCATGCTTTGCGCATTAGTGTCCCGACATTGAAGTCCCTTAATCATTCCCACGTGTCGACTTTATTTAAGGATTTTTTCCTCCCACCACTAGGGTCCTGCGTGCTGCTTGCCTCCGTTTGGTCTTCATGACATTTTCGGATGATCATCTTCAGTCAGTTGGTAGACTCCTACCCTTCAGGAGCACTGGTCTCCCTCCCCCCACTAGTCAGTTCAAAGCTCCTCCTGGGATGAGGTTTCTGAGATTTTGGCAAAAACATTTCTCCCAGCACTTAGCCAGAGGTGCAGCCCATCGCTTGCCTAGAAGTCCGATCTTAACAAAACTGCAGTCCGTGATCTAAGAATCCAAACCGGTTCCTGCTTACACCATTTGCAAGCCAGCTGTTTACTCTTCCTTACCATTTTCCCCTCTTCTCCCTGGGCCACGTCTGGACTCAACTGGGAGGACAGATGAGATCACAATTTGTGCATTTAATTGCTTCAATTTCCTGCCCAG